GTGGTCCCATTATGAACTATTTGGAGGACAATTCCAGCTTACCAATGCACCCAAAATCGAGCGTTTTGGACCGGAATTGAAAAAGTTATGAGTATTTTCAGAAATCAAAAGTTTCTCTAAACACTAATGAGCCAAATTTCAGTGCTTGTTACAGGTTGTAATTGGATGATTGTGAAGGTTTATTGTTAGTACACTTATCAATATGGACTGTAAAAATACGGAAAAATATGCAGAGTGAAGCTCTCAACGCAGGGAACAAGATGCATATTTTTATTCATCTTTTGCTCTCCTCCTGGCCTCTCAATATTTTTGTGTATCAATAATTTAATTTTCTGCCCAGAAAATATTATCTTTCTTGTAGTGTGTGGAGAAACTTGCAGGAAGTGAGGAAAAAAAAATTGGTGATAATTTAGTTCAAGTTAGTGCAACCAAAACCATGCAGGCTTGTAAAAATCACTGGTATATTGTAAGTCCTTTATTTTCATCTTTATTCACTATCTTGAAATTGATAATCTTTCGATTTTACAGTTAACTCAATTATACGCTGATTACAAATACTTGAATGGGCTGAGTGGTGCCGGGTGGGAGGATGGATGTGTTACGCTGCCTGATCAGGTTTGGGCACCAATCATGGCTCAGAATGTAAGTTTCATATTTATTTCATATTTTCTATCTTTTTTACTTTACTGACTGGTTCTTTTGATTTTTTAGACTAAAAAGTCAAAGGACTACCTCCGATGCAGAGGACACCCGTTCCCGTTATTCGATGTGATTGCGACCCTAGTGGAGGGTCACAAAGCTACTGGAAAATACATCACGGGTGGCATTGTCAATAAAACCAGAAAAACCGAGCTAGCTTCAACTTCGATCAACAATAAGCCCAAACCAGCTCCAAAGGACATGCCATCACCTTTTATCAGCCGAGCCAAGGATCCTTTTGAAGATCGATTGTCTTCTCAACCACCCGATTTCCATCCTTCCCCCAAATCACCACCTTCTGACGACGCATCCGAATCGATGGACACTGCTTTCAAGCCCATGGCCGACTCAGACTCGGATGAAACTCCGGCGGCCAAGCGACACCGTACTTCTAAGGTAGCATTAGCTGCTCGTGCTCCGGTTAAAGCAAAGAAACAATCAGGTGTTCAGATTCTCGATGGGATGTCGACTGATATGAAGGAGTTTGGATCCAATATCCAAAGTGCCTTTGCTTCCACTTCAGCATCGATTGACCAAGCAGCTAACACGATTCAATCTGAAAAGCCTTCAACTCACGCTTCAGCTGTTTCCTTAATTTACAAATCATCCCTTGAAAACACTCAACGCTACATTGCTTTAGACTTATTTGCTGAAAAGCCTCTCATTGCTGAAACTTATGTCAATACACCAGCTTGTGAGCGTGATGGTTGGCCCCAATACATCCTCAACAAAAAAAGTAAATGCATTCATTTTGTATAATTTATTCAATACACACCTACTGACTGTAACTATTCTTTTCTTTTCTTTATCTATCATCTACCTTCAAGATCAATCTTAAAATATGCGAGTTTTTGTTAACAACTTCAATTAAAATTATAGTGACTGTCTGATCTTAAGTAAAAAACATGAAACCTTTATATAAAAAATTTGTTCTGATATTAAAATTTAGTGACTGTATGATCTCAAATAAAACAAATATTAAACCCTCTTATACAATCTCATTAAATACATTTGTAAATATACATGATGATACAAATGTAATAGTGACTGGCTCTTTTTTTAGTGATTGAAATGTTAAAGAATGACTTGATGTGGCAAAATAGCTAAGAAAACGAAACGGTCAATCAACCTTCTTCAAAATAAGAGTATCGATGAGAGGTAAAGGTCACAGATTGTGTAAATATCGGACTCTTGAGCAGGTTTTTACGTTTTGATTAGAGGAGCGAAGAGCATTTCGGCTCAAGTTGGGATGAAGATGCGGTGGATGATTGTGGTCGTTGAAGACCGTGATCGATGGTTTTAAAGAGGATTTGATCAAAATTCAAGTTTTGATTTGAAAAGTCTTTTCTAGCCATCCTTACCGAACAGTCGAACGGTGTTCAAAAGGTCAACGATGATCAAAAGGATCTTTTGTTGACCTTTTTGGCCGACTGTTCGGTAAATGCAAAAGCCGAAAAACAGCTTTTCATTTTGCCCCTTGAAAATGGGGCAAAATGAAAAGTCGTTTTTGTGTAACGACTTTTGGGAAAAACAGCCGAACGGGCCCTAACTTTGTGATTGCACTACAGCGTTGTATTGCTTGTATTGTAATTACACGGTTCCCAATTTTTCTGTTCAACATTTCAACTTTTCCCTAGTTTGAAGGCACCTACTATGCTTGAGCAGTATCTTTTCCACCAGCACAAGTTCTCATTGGAAGGGGGGGGATACTTATTTTCTATGCAAATTTCCGTATATCGCTTCTTAGCCCATGCTCCTGAGTTGACCGATCCGATTTGGATTGGTTGGGAGGTTTTTTTTGATTCTCTCGTGAGCCGAGCGACGTCGCAATCGTGTGAAGCCCATGTTTATGCTATGTGGTAGCCTATCGTGCAACACCCACCTGGTGGAATTCAACCGCACCGTCACCAGACTGGAAGGTGGATGTCATGAAGCGACTGGCCACATCGCCAGTCGTATGCAGTTGATGTAGTGAAGCTTGGTGGTGTTCACAGCGCTACCACATGGGTGGTACTGTGAAACCCATGTGGTTCATGGTTTGTGGTTTCCACGTCACAGGCCTCTCGTGAATGACACGTGAACCACTATAGAGCCCAATGGCGACGTGGAAACCACGCTGCGACTGCCCCGTGGTGTACCTACATACCCCGCGAAAGCCGCACCGTTCCCCAGTCATGAAACTGACCTCTTTAGAGTGGAACATCAGATTTTGAAGATGATATCTGTGGATAATGAGCGAGAATGATGAATTTGAAGTCAGAAAAGCAGGGATGATTGGATAAACTAGGTGCTTTCAAACTAGGAAAACTCGAAATGTTCACAAGAAAAAATGTGAACTGTGTAATTATTTTTCAACTGTGTAATTACAATACACGAGGCCTCGGGCGGCGCGCCGCCCATTAGCACTTGCACTGTACTGCGCACGTCACGCCGCCTCTGACTACCTCTCACCACCACGTAATGATACGCAAAGATCACCATCTCATCCTCCTAGTTGCAATAACTGTTTTCGTCATTTATCTGACCCCGTTCCCGTGCCTCCCATCCGCCTCCTCTCTAACCTACACCGTTGA